TATGACGAGAAGCATGCTGAAAGAGAAGAAACTACCTTATACCTTATGGGGAGAAGCTGTGGCCATTTTAGCATATGTGCTCAACAGTTGACCAACTAAGAAGCTAAAGGAAATTGTTCCTTTAGAAAAGTGGACTGAAGACAAGCAAAGTGTTAGTCATCTGAAGGTATTTGGTTTTATATGTTAGAAACACGTTCCAGAAGCTAGAAGAAAGAAGCTAAGTAATGATTCTGGTGGGGTACCATAGTACATGTGCATACAAGCTTTATTATCTATAAACTAATAGAGTTAAAGTCAACAAAGATGTCATTGTAAAAGAATCATAAGTATGGGAATGGAGCAAGTCCCAATTTATTTCTAAAGATGAGTCAGAACTTGAAAGTTCTGAAGAAGTGTCAGAGTCAAATGATGATTCTGGAAACTCTGATGATGAGTCAGATGGTGAATCTAATTCTGATCCAGATTTTGATGATGATCTAGAATCTGGTGATGGTCATGCTTCTGGAAGGTAAAACTTTGAAGACGTGGGTTCTGGAGGACAAGCTTTTGAAGATGATCATGTTTCTGGTGGAAATCAAGTCTTTAAAGGTGAACCTTTTGAAGGAAGAACTTCTGAAGGTAGTCCAGCCTCTGATGAAGGTCATGATTCTGAAGGTGGAACTTCAGAAGGTAGAGGTTCTAAAGGCGATCCAACTTCTGAAGATGGTCAAGTATCTAATACTGTTCCAAAATCAAAAAGAGTTTCTGGACAAGTTTAGAGGCCATAAAGAATCATACAAATACCAAGAATGTTTGCAGAGTTTGACAAGTTGCAAGATACTAAAGTAGATTCAAAAGGAGAAATTATTCAGTGTGCCATGTTAATAGATTCTAAACCCGTGAGTATTGAAGAAACCCTCAAGAAGAAACAGAAGAACTTGAGGCTATAGAAAGAAACAAGACTTGGAAAATGAGTAAGCTTCCAGATAAAAAGAAAGTCATCAACGTCGGATGGGTTTTCAAGATAAAGCTTAAGCCAGGTGGATCAATTGACAAGTACAAATCAAGGCTAGTGGCTAGATGTTTTCTTCAGAAACCCAAGCTAGATTACTTTGAGGTGTTTGCGCATGTAGCTAGACATGAAACAATCAGACTAGTGATTGCTTTAGCTATAAATAGAAATTGGCCTCTGATGCATTTGGATATGAAGTCTACATTTCTAAACGGTTCATTACAAGAAGAGGTATACGTGTCACAACCTCTTGGATTTGTGAAAAAAGAATCAGGAAGGGATGGTGTACAAGTTACATAAAACTCTGTATGGATTGAAGCAAGCGCCCGAAGCTTGGAATTTGAAGATTGATTTATTTTTCAAGAAGCAAGGTTTCAGAAGTGTGAAATGGAATATGGAGTTTATGTGAAGAATTCTGGAGGCGATACGATTCTGATACATGTCTTTACGTTGATGACATATTACAAACGGGAACTTGTCCAAAAAGTATAATCAAGTTCAAAGAGGTGCTAGTGAATGAGTTTAGATGACTGATATGAGAAATATGGTATATTTTCTAGGGGTGGAGATTCTGTACTCAGAGAAGGGTATCATATTGCATCAGCTGAAGTATGAACTTGAGCTTTTGAAGAGATTTAAGCTACAAAATTGTAAGACTGTTGTCACATAATTAGAAACCAATCACAAATTGGATTCTGATTCTGATGGCGAAGATGCGGATGCTACGACCTTCAAACAATTGGTTGGTTCACTAAGGTATTTGTGTAATACCATACCTGATATTTATTATGCAGTTGGACTGGTTAGTAGGTTCATGAGTAAACCTAAGTGGGCTCATTACCAAGCTGCTGTAAGGATTCTGAGGTATATCAAGGAAAAACTCTGAAGTTTGGAGTACTATTCCCTTTTGGAAGAAAGACAGATTCAGAGTTGATGAGTTACTCTAATTCTGATTGGTGTGGAGATAGAATTGATAGAAGAAGTACTTTTGGATACTTGTTTAAGTTTTTGGAAAGTCCTATTTCTTATTGTTCCAAGAAGCAATCCATTGTTGCTCTATCAACGTGAGAAGCTGAGTACATTGCAGGTGTTGTAGTTGTATATCAAGTTGTGTGGCTTATGAATCTATTGCAGGATCTGAAGATCAAGGTAGATAAGCCTCTGATGCTGATGATTGATAACAAATATGCAATCAATCTTGCCAAGAACTTAATACTACACGTGAGAAACAAGCATATTGAGACAAAATATCATTTTCTCAAAAGTCAAGTCCATAATGGAGTACTAGAAGTTGTGCACTGTAGCACCTAGAAGCAACTGACATATAGTCTGACAAAAGCAATCAAGACGAATCAATTTCTCCGCTTAAGGGATGAAATTGGTGTTGTTAGTTTTGATTAGGAAATTCTAAATTAAGGGATGGTATTGAAGGGTAATTTAGTATTTCTAATTGCTTTAATAACTTAGCTATTAAGTTTATTCTATTAGAGCATATATGGCAGTTTATTTGTGTATAAATATTCTAGTTGTAGATGTCATAAATACGACATTCTTCCTTGCAGCTTTACCGCCGTCATTCTCTGTACTCTCATAAATATTTTTTTTTGTTCATGATGCCCTTGTGCACCAACATTAAAAACAATTTAAAAAATAGTAACATTTTAAACCTAACACCACTCACCCATGAAATACCATGCAATGCAAAAACACAACATTCTATTATATTTTATTTAACATTCTATTAATATAACTAAAATCATCAACACAATACACAACACCAGAAGAATATCCGCTGTCTTTTCTTGACTCCGTCTTCAATGGCTTCCTGTGCAAACTTTTCCTGTCTCCCCGCAGTTCGCATCCAGGTTCCTTCTCCGGACAGATTCCACTGCCAGAAAGTCTTCGCAGTTCGTTGTTCATCTGACTCCGGTTTTGATCCCAAGGTGTTCCGAAAGAATCTCACCAGGGGTGAGAATTATAACCGCAAAGGCTTTGGACACAAGGAAGAGACACTCAAACTAATGAAACACGAGTACACCAGTATGTTATCTTTTTTCTTTCCTTTTTCTCCTTCCAACTCAATACAATTTGGCTAACGCCTCGTGTCCTTTGTTTTTGTAATTTCAGGTGACATCATTGAGACATTGAAAGAAAATGAGTATGAGTATACATGGGGCAATGTCACTGTTATGCTAGCAGAAGCCTTTGGCTTTTGTTGGGGAGTTGACAAGGCTGTTCAAATTGCTTATGAGGCCACAAAACAGTTTCCTAATCACAAAATTTGGATTACCAATGAAATCATTCACAATCCAACTGTTAATAAGGTATATGCATGCATTTCCTATCACCTTCAATCATATATGAATCTCTTAATTGTTGAGCTTTGATCAATTATTGATGCAGCGGCTAGAGGAGATGGGTGTGGAGTATATTCCTATAAGTGGAGGAAAAAAACAATTTGAGGTTGTCAACAAGGGTGATGTTGTCATCTTGCCTGCTTTTGGAGCCGCGGTCGATGAGATGTTGATTTTGAGTGAGAAGAATGTTCAAATCGTTGATACAACTTGCCAGTGGGTTTCAAAGGTGAGGATGGTTTTCTGTTTTGCCACTTTGCATCTCTATTCAGTTCATATATATGCAACAACAGAAACTGAGATTATTTCTTCAATAAATTGATTTTAAGGTATGGAATGTTGTTGAGAAGCACAAAAAAGGAGATTATACTTCAATAATCCATGGTAAATATGCCCATGAGGAAACTGTAGCAACTGCTTCTTTTGCTGGAAAGTATATAATTGTGAAAACTATGGCAGAGGTTTGTCCTAAGTTTCTGTTAGTAGTCGATTTTATGTGCGGCAAATGACTTGAAGAAATTTGTTATAACTTTTGTATAACTGACAAACTTAACCAGGCTGAATATGTTTGCGATTATATTCTCGGCGGTGAACTTAATGGATCCAGCTCAACCAGAGAGGCACTATACGAGGTGCGACTTTTGTACTGTGATCGATATTGCTTTTAAAAACCTGTAGTGTTCAATGTCGTGACCATTTTATTTTTCGTGTACAGAAATTTAAATTTGCAGTTTCTAAGGACTTTGATCCAGACAATGACCTGATAAAACTTGGCATTGCAAATCAGACAACAATGCTCAAGGGAGAGACTGAAGAGATTGGTTAGCTTTTATCTTTTTTTGGAGTTAGCAGCATAGCAGTACTTTTGTGCTCTATTCGGAAATTATAATTTAACTGTGATATGTATTTTGTTCTTCGGTTCACAGGGAAACTAGTAGAGGGAACTATGATGCGCAAATTTGGCGTGGAAAACGTTAATGAGCACTTCATAAGCTTCAACACAATTTGTAATGCTACTCAGGTATTTTCACTTCTTTAGTCCCTTGATGTTCTAAACGCCTCTTCATTCTAATCAGACAGTTGTTTTGAATTTTTTGTTTCTTTTAGGAGAGACAAGATGCTATTTACAAGCTGGTAGAGAAAGATATGGATCTTATGTTAGTAGTTGGTGGCTGGAACTCGAGCAATACATCGCACCTGCAAGAGATAGCTGAGGAACGCGGAATTCCTTCTTACTGGATTGACAGTGAGAAAAGAATTGGTCCAGGAAACCGAATAGAACACAAGTTGAATGTAAACATTGTTAAAAGAGATTTATACCTCACCACCTATTGTTTGCTCTTTTTCACTATCAATAAAAATGTTTACGTTTAATCTTTCAGCATGGCGAGCTTGTGGAGAAAGCAAACTTTCTACCAAAGGGTGCGTTAAGGATTGGTGTAACATCTGGTGCATCCACACCAGATAAGGTATTTTCTCCTGCCTTGCAAATTTCAAATGTCATTCCTTTGATTCAGTTTTTGCTGATAATATCCAATTGAAGTTAGTTTAACATCGTTTTGCATCATTGATTTTCACACAGGTTGTGGGAGATGCGCTTATCAAGTTGTTTGACTTGAAAAGGGAAGAAGGGTTACATCTCGCGTAAAGTAGGTCTACTTAAATACATTGTTAAATGTATGAATAACAGGAAGGAGACTTGAATTACAGGATCTGTTACACTTCAACTTGTAGAATTCATCAATGAGATATACTTTAAGAGCGTTGGTATTTGGCCCTATTAAATAAAAAATGAATTATACATGTAATATACTTTAAGAGCTTTTGTATCTGCAAAATTTATGTTAACTGACTCATCCATGGGATCCAATTTGTATGGTTGTATGTCCAAGTACTCTATCATTACTATACAATGAAGAGTCTTTTATTTCTCACCTTCATGTCTCAAAAAGCTATCAGCTTTGCTTAGATAGAGATGATGATTCAACTATTTCAGGGATTTTGTCAAGCAAGAGGTTCATCTCGTCCGGAAACTCTAACTTTGCTCTATTTGTCTTCCCTCCAATAACGACTGTCGTCCCATCTTGTAAGGCCCATATCTTTCGAGTGACCAAAAATTTAATTAACGTTTCGATATATAATTGAACATGGATAAGGAAAACACAACTAAGCTACCAATTATGCACATGACATTTGTAACGAAAATGTAGAGACTCGCCTGTGAGTGAGATAAGTAGCTGATGCAAGTTGTGAGCATCAGAGCACCAAATCCAGCATATACAACTGGCACACCAGGGTCAGTCTGCATAATCTTTAAGCAGTGAGTTAACTAAGGTAACATAACTAATTTTGGTAATAAAGGAAAATAACCAGACTTAGCTTAAGCTCACACCTTCAAGTCCAAGCCACTACTCCCTATTGCATCAACAATGACAATTTCTGAGCCATCAATGTTGATTGGGAGCTTTGAGTTAGGTCGTCTAACTCCGGCAAATTTCCCTTCCTTATCATAAAGGACAATTGATTGCAGGTCACGAGCAAGCATAGATCTAAAATTCGACAAAATGCAGAATATCAAAACGCAAATGCCAGAATGAACTATCATGATTATTCTCTTGCTAGATTATCTCATAAAACTATGTAAAGTCTTAAACTAAGATCTTCCGAATATTGAAAAGAGTATTTTGTCTCGGTGGATATTTAAGCACTTACATTCCCTTGACATTAGGAGAGTTAACATCTCCAACAGGTAGAAAAGTACCATAAAGTTTCTTATCTCCATTGATCTTAAGAGGTGCCATAGCCAAATTAAAAGGTCCTTCATTGTCCTTGAGAACTTGTAGGGTTGAAATACTCCAATCCGTTTGGTATATGGTGATACCCTCGTAACGTAAAGGATCATTTACGCTAATTGTTTTCCTCATTACTTCTTTCCCATCCATGTTCAACAGGGAAAGATCGGTGCGGAACTGTGAAACCTGTATCATCAATCAAAATACAAATAAAATTGCAGAAAATTTTACACTTTGGCCTATTCTGGTTGAAGTTTCATGAATTCAGTTGCAACATTCATATTCATTAACAAAAATCAACATTTACCTCTCCACTTTCATAATAATCCATAGAGAATTTGTTGACATGAATCTCTGTATTAAAAGCATCAGTCGGAGAGGAAAGAAAGCCAGTAGGACCGAGAACATCTCCTACGACAAAATTCAGCCCCTGAGGCACATTGACTGAACCTTTAAAGCTCCCTGCAGCACTTAAAGTTCCTCCAGCCATGATCAACAAAAGTGCTATATGAACTCCAACTGGGGCTAGCCGACCGGCAAGTCCGCGGAATGCATACAAAGTTGGTCCTTTCAAGAATACCTATAATCCAAAGTTACATTTTGTCATTACACATAAAAGTATCCAAGTGAAGTCTATTGTTGGCCAGTAACTATAAGAGCTTATGTTAAGCTATTACTATAACAAATGGTAAAATAAAGTCAATATTTGCATATAAGTTGTTTTCATAAACTATTTTGTAGAGCTTATGGAAATAAGCTGAAAACAGCTTATGAACATGTCATAGGCTTTTTTTCATAAGCTCTCCTATATATAGTCACACAAGTACTTATACCAATAGATACGCTCAAACAAACTAATACAAACAGGTCTAAGATGTTTTTTCCTTGGTAAATAGAAAATCATTTCCTAAATGTATGTCCAAGGGAAACTATGATTCTTAAGGATATAAAGAATCAAATTGTTAAGTATGAGTTATGGCATGGAATTATTATTACCTCATATCCAGCTCCCATTAATATAGTACCAACATCTTGGATTGATGCTCTAGGCAAGGATTCTGAAAACTCCTGCTTGCGTATAACCTCGGCAGAGTGCATAAAGGACCATCTACGAAACAAATTATGCCTTGAGCAATCAAGAAATTCCACAAACCAAGCATTAGGATCACAGAAAACTGACAACCAAACCTTTTAGAAACCTTGATGAGCGGGAGCTGTGTTGTGTAAGTGCATGCCATAAGGGAAGCACCGAGAAGAGCCAACATTCCAAGAAATATAGGGGCGGAATACATGTGATCAAAACCAAGGAAGAAAATCCATCTCCAAGTAAAAAATCCTAACACTGGATGATCTTCAGGGTAGTTCTGGAAATAAAACTCAGGGGCCTCACCTTGATCAATAAAAGTGCCTGGCATAAAAGGCCAAGTCTTAGGGGGCGTTTGTTTCATGGATTGTGAGTTTATTCCCCGGAATGTAGACTGCAATATTTTATATGTCAATGTTTGTTTCAAGTTATAAAAAATCATGCCTAGGAACTTCTTATTCCCAGGAACTTATTGTCATTTTCTATTCCCATGTTATAGGGTGGGAATCTTTTATTCCCATCGAAATAAGAATTAACCACCTATAACTTCCCATTATCAAATATTTTAATTAATTTATTAATTATTTTAAATTTTAAAATAAATATATTTTATAAATATTCCTAGGAAATGAAACTTCTCACCAAACATGTAGATGAGAGTAATGTTCCCAGGAATAATATTCCCAAGATTAAAATTTCAATCCTTCAAACAAACACAGTGTTAGGTATTATATAGCCTTATTAAGTGTTTATAGCATTAAAGCTTATCGTGCAAGTACTTACGTACTTATAAGCTATTTCTATAACAAAAGATAAACTAAAGTTAATCTCTTTTTATACAAACCATAATTTTTTTTAGAAGCTCTTCCAAATAGAGTCTCATAAGTGCTTATGATTGTAGATAAGCTCAAACAAGCCAATCCAAACAGGTTCTAAAGTACATTTGCTACAATATTATCATAAGCTATCTAAAAAGCTTAGGAAAGTAAGTATAAAAAGAGCTTATGCATGTGTTTTAAGCTGATTTCATAAGCTATCACAATCAGTCTCAAGTATTTATGTTAGTATATAAGCTCAAGTCAATCCAAACACTACTGAGAAATAGAGAGAAAAAAAAAAGAAAACTTTGAAACACATACCCAACCCCATTAAAAAAGCAATGGTGAACATTTCCCCAATAGCCAAAGGCAAATTAGAGAGAATCTGCAACACCCTTTTGCTCAACTTCTTAAACAAACCATTGGAAGCTTTGTTTTCCTTTGAGGTTGAAGGAACATCATTATCCTGTGTGAGTGGTGGAGGAGAAGCTTCTGATAAGACAATCTTCTGGGACAATAAGTCCTTCTTCCCCACGTTTTTGAGGTTGCAGTTGATGGTGAATGAGGGAGTTTTATGAGTATGAGTAGTGTTTGCAGCATAGTTAGTGTATGGGAATGGGTTGAATTTGAAGAAAGGGTGAAAGGTGGAAACTTTGAGAAAATGGGTTTTGGGAAGACATTGATATGAGTAGTTCATCATGGGACTCAAAGATGTGGCAGAGGAAAGGACTGTTGTGTGCCATCTCTCTTTTAACGACCACACCTGTTACTCTATCCATATCAATTCGCAACAGATATTTTTAAGATTTAAACATGGTTTGGTTTTGTCTCTCTTTTTTTAAGGATTTTTTTTAGTCTAATAAATATGTTATTTTTTATATTTTCATTATAAATTATGTTATATAATTTTTTATATTTTGAAAATATAAAAATCAAATATTTTTTATATTACAAACATCAATTTTAATATGAATAATTTTAGAAATATTAAAACAAGATATTAGAGTCAAAATATATAAAAAAAAAAAGTATCATGATGAAGATTAAAATCATATCTTTAAGGAAATTAAAATCAAAGCTTGATTTTTAGGGGTACTATTTACATACTTAAGTATAACTATATCTCAGAAAATAAAATACATCCAAACTACTCAAATTGTTCTTTACTTTGTATTTATTTACAATAATAAAAGGTTAAAAAAATAAAAAAATATTTTTTAATTCAACTTAAAGTAACGGGAATATATTTCTCTCTTCTTTTCTCTCTTTTAAATTTTTATTTTCTCTCTATTTATCTTAATTCTAAATTGACACTCTCCACTTAAATAAGTGAGACAAATGGGCTATTCATATTTAGACTTTTCTTCACTAAGGGAATTCAAGCCCAAAAAATTCTCCATCACAACTATGTGGAGAAAATCGTCAAACCGGCAATAGCACAACAAGCTTCAAACTTTCCTCTTGATAATACTTTAGTCATCATATCAGAACCATTGTCATATATATACGAACTTTATCTAACTCCAACAACTTAACATCCAAAACATCATGAATCCAATGATATCTCACATCAATGTGTTTGAATCTATTATGAAAAGTTGAATTCTTAGCAAGATGAATAATACGTTGACTATCAACAAATAACACATATTTGTCTTGAACAAAACCAAACTCTTACAAAAATTTCTTCTACCAAAGTAACTTTTTACATGCTTCGGTAATGACAAAGAACTCAGCCTTTGTAGTAGACAATGCTACACACTTTTGCAATCTGTACTGCCAAACCACAATTCCCCTTGCAAATTTAATCATGTAGCCCAAATTAGACTTTTTGGAATCAATGTCTCCAGCCATATCATAATCAGAGTACCCCACTGAATTAGACTTATCTCCTCCAAAGAAAAACCTTATAGAAGTAGTACCGCGAAAATATCTTAAAATCCATTTTACAGTATTCCAATGCTCACTACCTGAATTTGACAAAAATCTACTGACTGTACCAACAACATGTGTTATATCTGGTCTTGTACACACAATTGCATACATCAAACTATCCATAACAGACGCATAAGGAACATGTTTCATATTAAACGATTCATCTTCACTTGAAAGACTTTGATTAAAACTCAATTTGAAATGAGTAGCAAGAGAAGTTCTTACCGCCTTAGAACTTTCCGTTTGGAATCTTCGTAGCACTCATTTGATATAATGTTCTTGTGACATTCAAAGTTTATTCTCTTTTCTGTCACACATGATTCTAATGCCAAGATTCTGTTTAGCTGCTCTCATGTCTTTCATGGCAAATGACTCTCCAAACTGCTTCTTTAACCTCTTAATGTTAGAATATTTTTACCTACAATAATCATATCATCAACATATAACAACAGGACAATAAAGTCATTATTAGAAAATTTTCTAATAAAGACGCAATTATCTGAAGTAGTCTTCTGGTATTCTTGATCACACATAACTGACTCAAACTTCTTGTAGCCTTGTCTTGGAGCTTGCTTCAATCCATATAAACTCTTTCTCAATCTACAAACATGATCTTCATTAGAAAATGTTTTTGAAAATCAGAAATATATTTCTGGAACACATCTACACACATATAATTCTTTCGTTTTTGAGATACGTCGTATTTTACGACTTAATTTATTTCAAAAATATATTTTTGAAAATTCCTGAAAATACATTTCTTGTTTTTAGTTTAACTAGATACTAACCACATATTTTGTCCAACCTCTAAATAGCTAAAAGTTCAAATTATGAATAATCATTATTCTATTAGGAAAATAAATGTACCCTATAATTACCGTCATTATGTTGTTCAGCAAACTAAATTTTTTTTCTTATAGGCATAATACTATACTAAGTTACGAACCTAAATTATCTTTAAGATTTATTCTAACTTTTTGTTATTTTTTATTAAGAGTTCATAGACTAATACATATTGATGATTTAAAAATACGTTTCAAGTTTAAATAAAACAAATGTATAAATCTTGGTAGTTAATGAGCCCCACAAAATGACACAATTAATAGTTGAAATATAACTTTGGTAGTCAAAGACCTTTATAAAACTAGGAATATAAAATTAGGAATCGGAAATGTATTTTCGAGAACTTCTAGAAATACATTTCTAGAATAAAATAAGTCGTAAAATGAAACGTATCTAAAAAATGAAAGAATTATATGTATGTGAATGCGCATTAGAAATGTATTTTCGATTTTCCGATAGCATTTTCAGAATTACATAGGGTATTTTTTACCCCTATGGGATGGGCTAGAAATCCTCTCTGTTATTTTTTACAGATTAGTGAATTATTGAATAGTATTTAGATATACATGTAAATTTAAAATAGATTACTTGATTTTAAAATGATCAATAATAATATAAACTCAATTGTATTAAATAATCATATAAAAAAAGTCAATGAAATGGAAAAGGGAAAAAAATAGAAATTTTGACATTTGAAAAATATTAATTGTGTCAAAAATAAAAGTAATCATTTATTATAATAAAATATATATTTTTGATGATACTGACCCGCAAGAAAAAGATAAATTTTGACATTTGAAAATAAAAAATTTGTGTCATAAATAATGATAACTTTTAATTAAAATAAAATAGGTATTTTATTGATAGTGAATCGTGAGAGAGCAAAATTTTGTCATTTTTAATGTTGTGTCTCAAATAATGACAATTGTTAATTAAAATAAAATAAATATTTTGTTGATAATGACCGGTAAGATGAAAAATTAGTTGTGTGTACGACTATTTGTTGGAACAAGAGATTCAAGAAAGATGATTTTGAGAAAACAAGAAGAAGAAGAGAAGAGAGAGAATTTGTGAGTAGTTAAACGTAACTAATTTTCTAACTGACTTTATTATTATTGCTACATGTTTGATTACAGACATAATGGCCCTTTATATAGGCAAAGTGTCCAGGCCCAAATACACATGCTGAAAGCCCAAATATAACTGAACAAGAATTATACAACTAACACGCCCCCTAATTTATGTTCTTGAGACTTATCATCCCGATGCCTTTCTTTAACTCTTCGAACCTCACTTTCTTCAAAGGTTTGGTGAATATGACAGCTAGTTGCACTTCTGTCTTGCAATGTTTTATTTCGAGTTTTCCTTTGTTGACTTGATCCCTCAGAAAATGATACCTTCTTTCAATGTGCTTACTTCGACCATGACACACTGGGTGATTCGCAAGGTTTATAGCTGACTTGTTATCAACAAACAGCTTCATCTTCGATTACATTATTCTGAGTTCTTCAAGTAGCATTTTGATCCATGTTGCTTGGCATGCAGCATATGATGCAACCACATATTCTGCTTTACATGATGACAAAGCCACAATGCTTTGCTTCCTTGAATTCTAGGAGATTGGAGCTCCTTCGATCATGAAAATGCATCATGCAGTACTCTTCTTTTCGTCTTGATCTCCATTGAAACCTGAGTCAGTGTATCCATGAACTTCAACATCTGTGTTGTTCTTCGATTTCTTTGGTAACAACACACCATGATCAATAGTTCCCTTTACGTATCTCAACACCCTCTTTACTGCGATGAGATAACATTCTTGAGGCTTCTCCATAAATCTCAACAATCCTACACTTTGATAGATATCTGGTCTAGTATTGAAAAGATACCTCAAGGATCCAATTATTTGTTTGTAAAGGGTAGAACTTACAAACTCATCATTTGATTCCTTTTTCAGCTTTGCTCCAGTCTCTAATGGAGTAACAGCTTCCTTACAGTTGCTCATATTGAACCTCTTCAGTATATCTTGAGCATACTTTATTTGATGTAAGAAAACTCCTTCTTTGATGTCTTTGAATTTGATTCTCAAGAAATAGGAGAGATTCCCTAAATCAGACATTTCGAATCCATGCATTAACTTCGACTTTACCTTCATTATCTCAGCTTTGTTTTCTCCTGTAATGAGTAAGTCATCAACATAGAGGCATAAGATGATTCGCTTGACACTTTCAACATCATTTACATACACCCTATGTTCATAGACACACTTTGTGAAACCTGCTTCGATTAGGAAGCTATCTATCCTTTTATTCCAAGCTCTAGGAGCTTGCTTCAAGCCATAGAGAGTCTTCCTTAATCTGTAAACTTTTGACTCATGCCCTTTAACGTCAAAACTTGGTGGTTGAGTAACATAGACTTCTTCTTCCAATGGACCATTCAAAAATGCTGACTTTACATCAAGTTGATGCATTTTCCATCCTCTATATGCAGCTATTGAAAAAACAATCCTGATTGTTTCGATCCTTCCAACAGGCACATATACTTCATCGAAGTTTATACCAGGTTTTTATAGAAAACCTCTGGCCACCAGTCTTGCCTTATACTTTGCAATCTCACCATTTGGCCTTCGTTTCACCTTGTAGATCCATTTCATATCGATTAGTTTCTTGTTGGTTCTTTCGACAAGCTCCCAAGTCTTGTTCTTCTCAATGGCTCTAAGTTCTTCTTTCATGGCTTCACACCAATTCGAATTGCTCAAGGCTTCTTCCAAGTCAATTGGTTCTGCTTCAGCCATCATCATGGCTTCTTCGTTTAAGTCACCATTTGCATCGATTTCTTGATTTGGAAACATATCATATCCAATTATCCTAGTTGACTCAGTTCTTGTTCTTGTGGATCTTCTTTCATTATGCACAGATGGTTCTT